CCCCCCCAAACCCCCACTGAGCCCCCAAAGCCCCCCGTGTCCCCCCCAGGCTCACCCACGTAGTGCAGGACGTCACGGGGGGTGAAGGAGGGGGGGGGCAGGGTCATTCCCAGCCCCTCCTGCCGGGACACCAGGATGGGCACACTGAAGCTGTTCTCCTCCAGGTACTCCACCGTCAGCTGGGCCCCCCCCGGCCGCAGCAGCACCTCATCCGCGCTGGGGGAGGAAACACAGGACCCTTGAGACCCCCCCAGAACTGACCGAAACCCCCCAGGACCCCCCTGGGACCCTCCAACCCAGCACAGCCCCAAGGGAAGGACAGGGCCCCCACCCAGGGAAGGGGCTTAGCTGGGATGGGACTCTCCCCTGAGGGGTGTCCCTGTGCCCTGGGGGGTGTCCCTGTGCCCTGGGGGGTGTCCCTGTGCCCTGGGGGGGTGCCTCCCTGCCATGGGGGGGTGTCCCTGTGCCCTGGGGGGGTGTCCTTGTGCCCTGGGGGGGTGTCTCCCTGCCCCAGGTGTCCCCCTCACCTGGGGAAGGTTCGTCCCCGCAGCTCCCGGATGAACTGGGCGCTCCCGGTCCGGGCAGGGCGGCTCCCGGGGGGCTCCTGATCCGGAGCTTTCGGGGGGCCCCTGCGCCGCTTCACTGTGGGAACAGGGCACGAGTGAGGCCACGGGAAACGTGGGAATGCAGGGATAACGGGGGATATAAGGATACACTGGGATATGGGAGTGGGGAGAAAGCAGGGGACAGGGGAAATGGTGATACAGGGGGACACAGGGATAGGGGGGAACACATAGGGACACAGGGATACAGAAGGACACAGGGATACAGGAGACACAGGAATACAAGGATACAGGAGGCACAGGTATACAGAGGACACATAGATACAGAACCACCCAAGGATACAGGAGAAAAGGAGGACACAAGGGGACATGGGAATACAGGGAACACAGGGAGACAGGGGAACACAGGGAGACAGGGATACAAGGGGACACAAGGAACACAGGAGGATACAGGGGACACAGAGGGACACAGGCATGGGTGGCTCCCTGGAGAACACCGAGGGATACAGAAGGAACACATGGATACAAAGCCAGGAACATGGCTGGAGCCAGGGACACACAGACACAGAGGCACTCAGGGATCCCCAGGAACCCAGCAACCTCCCCGTGGACCCGGGGACACGTGGATCCAGAGGGACCCCTGGATCCAGAGGGACCCCTCCAGGCACGGAGGGACATGGGAGGATCCGGGAAGACATAGATCCACAGGGACTGGGAGGGATCCGCAGGGACCCGGGTGGATTTAGGTTTCTATGGATCCACGGGGACCCAGGTGGATTTCAGTTTCCATGGATCCACAGAGACCCAGGAACATTCAGACCCACAAGGACTTGTCTGGGCTGGAGTTTCCATGGGATCCACAGGGATCTGGCCACAGCTGGATCCACAGGGACCAAACAACATCCCTAGGGACTCCTACAAACCAAGGTTTTTATGAATACATGTGGATCCAAGAGCAGATAAATCCAGAGGGACCTCAGAACACAGGGATTCACAGAAACCCAGGAACAGAGGGATGCACAAGGACCTGCCTGCACCTGGGAAGCTCGTGAATCTGTGGAGACCCACGTGGGCCTGGGCTTCCATGGAAACACATGGATCCAGGTGTTCCTGGATCCACAGACACCCAGGAATCCACATGGATCCAGAAACAGATGGATCCACAGACACAACCAGGAATTCACATGGATCCAGAAACAGATGAATCCACAGATACAACCAGGAATTCACATAGATCCAGGTGTTCCTGGATCCACAGACACCCAGGAATTCCCACAGACCCAGAACGGATGGATCCAGGAGGACTCATGGGGGCCTGGGTTTCTCTGGACCCACATGACCCAGGAACACGAGGATCCACAGGGACCCGAATCCACAGTGACCTGAATCCACAGGGATTGACGCGGACCTGTCTGGACAGGGGTCGCACAGACCCCCCCGAATCCAGACACGGATGGGACACGCCACGGACACGTGTGGACCCCCTGGAGCACCCACAGAGTCCTGGCATGGATACAGAGGGACCCAGGCCCCCACCCCAGTCCCTCCCAGTGCCCCCCCAGTGCTCCCAGTTCACTCACTGACGGAGGGCCCCCTGAGCACGGCGCACTGGGGGCAGTGGTACAGGTCGATCTCAGCCGCCGCCTCCTCCTCCACCCCCACGCAGCTGTGGGGACACCCAGTCACTCCCAGTAACCCCCAGGCACATCCCCAGTGCCCCCCAGTAACTCCCAGTCACCCTCA